AGAAAAAAGTGCAAATTGCACTATGACAGATCCATCCCTATTGGATCATTGTTTCAAAGATATTTCCTTACTTAATAAATAGAATGATCACGGGCAGGCAAAAAAAGCTGTGGGAGCAGGAGTGATTAGTTTTCCCATTGACTTTCCTTGTGGGAAGTAGCAGGGAGCATTGTAAATCATGATCATGTGACCAAGGCTAACCACAGCAGTGCTTTAATGGCCAAAACTTTGCCAATGCAACAGATCTGGAGATCCTTGAAATCTCAATACCATACAAGTAATTGACCCATTCTTTAAGTTAACTCATTTGAGGTATATTCATTTAATAATTTTGCCCTATGATACACCATGTTGCCCAATTGAAGGTGACACACAGACAGGAGAGTTTTAGTAGTATATAGCTATTAAACTGAGTAGAAGTAATTTTGCTTCCTTTCATACAAAACCTAAAAATTAAAAGTGAGCTTAGGTTTTGTATTACATTTTAATACGTTTGCAAGCTCAAAGAACAGCTGGCTGTATATCTGAAAAGGTATCTCCTCTCATGTGCCTCACACTCTGCAAATACCTTCTTTTTCAAAACTGTAGTTGGCAATAGTGATATCTGCAGCCTTTTCTAATTTGTCATTCTAGGGAGAGAAAAACAACAAAAGGGCCACTGTTATTACCGGTATTCTCTCCCTAAGATGTTAATCTTTGTTTTCCTCCAGTTTTATAAAATGGGAAAATCTAACTTTCCTTCCACCCACCTCTTTGGTATGGAAGATCCCAGGAGATAATTTAACAAACCTCTGTTTAAAAATACTGTATTAGATATTTGAAACAAATGCTATTTTGTTAAGAGGGCTTATTAAACTTTAATCCAGAGCATTAAAGTCCTCCAAAATAAGACAGAAGACACTAAAGCTTATAGCTAATTAAATTCAAAAATGCAAAATGCAACAAACATATTTTTATAAATATTTCCTTTAAAAATTGGTATTATTCAGAAGAATTATATTATTCCCAGCTATTTGGGAATTAATTTAATTAATTTATCATATTAATGAATTGCACTAGACATCCAATGGCAGAAAAACAGAATATTTCTCACAAATAGAGAAACAAAAAAAAAGTTATTTGGCTTGAAAAATTTCATTAATATGAAGTTTTAGCAATCTGTAAAATGAGTTAACTTATTGCAATGAAAGTCAATATCCCCTAAAAGTAATTCTCCACTGTTTTTCTACAATGTTAAGAGAGATTTATTTCACAGGCAGGTAAGGCAGAACTATCCCATTGTTTAATCTCTTTCACCACAGAACTGTCATTCTAAGATGTATTTACAATGAATATGAAGACCAGATTGAGAAACTATGGACGCTGCTGTGCCTGTTTGGAATTGGGGCACAATGCAATGCAATTATTAGGACACAATACCACATTATTTTTGGTATGTACCCTTTTTCTGCGGTCAGTGAACATAACTTCTAACTGAAGCATTGCATTGCAACAACTTACCGTGTTTCCCCGAAAATAAGACCCGGTCTTATTTTTTTTCCTTCAAAAGAGACATCAGATCTTATTTTTGGGGGGGGGGGTATCTTTTCCACTCACCTCTGGCACTGTGCAGCCAAGAACTGTACTATGGACTGAATCCATAGTTCGATTCTCGGCTGCAGTGGTCTTCCTGAAAGGCCTCTGACTGCAAAATGCAAGCCTGAGGATGCCACAGAAGAAGTGGGTCACTGAGGAGAAGCGTGGCTGCAAGGTAAGTGGGTGCGGGGCGCATGGGGCAGCTCCACCCCCCACCTCCCTAGCTTGATTTTTAGGTGTGTGCCTCGTCCCAAAACTAGGGCTTATTTTTGGGGTAGGGCTTATATTAGGTCCACCCCCAAAAATCAAGCTAGGGCTTATTTTCAGAGTAGATCTTACTTTCAGGGAAACACGGTAGAATTAAATTAATATGTTTAAAGAATATTTACAGACCTATAAAGGGCCTAGAATAATTCTTGAAAATAACTATACAGCTAGAATTTGCTGCCTACCAGTTTCCAATTGTCTTAAAATACTTCAAAATAATTAAAATTACAAAAGAGGTGTCCATGGGAACTATATGTTGTATGTCTGACTGATTAAACAGATAGACAATCTAATTTTATATGTTTGTATACAGGGGCAGCTCTGGCAATAATCAGGGTGAAACAATCACTCACATGACAAATATTCAAAGGCAAAAGCATTTTACAGAGCCTTATACAGAGAAGTTTTTCATGGACTTCTCTGATTTCTCTGAACCTCTAAGATTTGAATTCCAAGATATCATGATATTTTGTGTCATGCAATAAACAATCTTGTATCAGGATTATCTGATAGTACAATAAAAGATTGGACAACCCATAATCAGAGTATATTAAACTATTTTAATTAAAATCAACTTAAGCAATTGCAAAGTATAATTAGCTATTGTGCAACCTATATTTAAAAGCAGTATATTAAGATTTCCAATTCACCTCCCCTAGATCTTTCTTCTTAAAGCAAGCAGGTGGAACTTATTAAACTTTATTAAAGTGTTACGCCTCTTTTCTATAGTAGGATATAACAATCACTCAAAGGGAACAGATGAAGTAAAATGTATCAGATTCCCAAAGGCTCATGGCCAAATCAAATATTGCCAAGTAAACACGCAGACATCAATTACAAAGCAAAGAAATACATAAATAAAGATGGAGACTAGAGTTAAGGAAATTCTATTGTGAAAGCAATTAGTTCAGTGATAATATTTGATAGTTATATATCTCAAACACCGCATTAAGAGTCCACGCCTTCTTTATTGCATGTTTGTTCACTCTGCAGAAATAGCTTAGTTATCTTAAGAGTCAGGTGAATGTGACAATCATATTGTTGAAAACTAATTATATCTAAATGATTAATAAACATAGATTAATTGACTATCTAGACAGCTGATGGTGAAAGAATGCAATGATGTAAGCCTGAGGTTTTTTTCAGTATTGTTTCTTTACTTGGCCATATATGATGCATATAGAGCAGATGATTCTGTTACCTCTCTTTGCCTGGAATTCACATTGCCAAATCTCTCCCATGAAGATGTAGTTTGTTATAGTCTGAGAATACCTGGCTTAGACTACAGTCTATGAACTTTTTGTAAAGCCACAACTTTTTATAAATCCTTCAATAATTGCATATGGTCCAGCTACTAAGAACAAATTAGTTATTTATTTGAAATAGCTGATTGCTCTTTTTTTTTAAAAAAAAAAAAAGGCAACATTTGCAAAGGCTTTTAGAGAGGTGAGAATGGCCTCGTCTAAAAAATAAAAAGGCTAATTCTAATAGCATCATTCCACACAGACAGTATTTTCATCGCTTGTGTCATCTTGCTTGTTAGATAAAATGTGGCACTTATCTTTTTTTATGAATGCCAACTTCTTCCCTGAACTTTAGAACTCCTGATGCCCCAAGTAGAATAAATAGTATACTAACTTCATGGCACATGACAGGAGGTTGCTTACATGCAAATCATATACCTGGGAAATCATGAATTTGCTTTCTAAACATTGATAGCCATACTTCAGAAAGAGAAATAGACATCTATTGCATGCCTCCACTACACATCATTAAAATTGCTGGTGGAGCTGCTGCCTTCCACATATATAGGCATTTAGCAAATGTGACAAATTGTGCATAGGCATTTAGCAAATGTGACAAATTGTGACAAAATGTGTGTCACAATGTTTTGATGCAAACCCCTTATACCTGTGTGCCAACATTTGATGCAATCATCATTTAGGTTATGTCACAACACTGTGATTTGTTTCCCTCTCCTTGCTCCTACAGATAATTCTGACTGGTTGAGGAGCCTATTTTATGCCATAGAAAAGATGGCCCTGTTGGAGTTCTCT